TTGGAAGACAAAAGAAAAATGAGGAGGAACCCAATAGAGGGATGCTTTTGGAAGCCCTTGTCAAGAAATTCCAATGGACTCTCATATGAACATTTGAAAAGTGCCCTGTTCTGACTTTTTTCTAGCTCTCTGTCTAGAACTTGTAATGCTAATTACTCTTGCCTTTACTTCTCCTTCAGATCTCCTATTCATGATTCAAGGACTTTCTTTTTCCCTAGAGATAAGAGTTTTGCAATTTGGGAGTCTTTTAGATAGACCCACTGAAGGGGTACTCCAATTACCTCACCCTGTGTCCCTGTTCAGCATGGAAGAAGCCAGAGCGGTCTGGGTCCCGATTCCCTATCCACAAGCTGGGTAACCTCTTCAGAGGATGGTGTGGTAAGAATAGGAGGTAGGAATTGGCTAGGCAGTTAAGATAAAAAGACCCTAAAAAAAAAAGTAGCCAGTTTCTTGACTAAAACTCACAATGTCCTTGGACCTCTTATCAACATACTCCGTTCCAAAGACCAAAAATGTCAAAAATATTTGGGAGCTTGTATCTAATCCTTAAAAGATTTTAGGATTACCTCTTCAGAGGGGGAATGTTAGAGTAGCCAAACACCCCATTAAAAAATAAATCAAAGAAGAAGAAAGAGGACATGAAGTTACCAGAAAAAAAGTGATGGGGAGATATGGGAGAAGCTGGAGGGGAGAGAGTGGGCATGGATTTGATCAAAACACCTTATATGCATGCATAAAATTCTCAATAAACTATGTATTTTTTTTTAAAAAACCAAATGGTAATTATGCTTACCCTTCCCTTAGGTTACTCACCATGGTAGCTACAATCATCCACCAAGATTATCTCCTTCAACAGCTGATGGAGTGTCCAGTTGATGATGCTGGTGATGGCCCGAAGTATGATGGACACAGCTTCGTTCATGAATATGAGGACAGCACTGAGGGATGGGAGCTGGGCAGGGTATGTCTTCTGGTGACACCTGTAAGACACCATTCTTTATAACCACATTATTCTTTAATTACTTAAACATTGCTATCCACTTTTCCCCTTCAATACATATAGCATTCTGTCAATCAACAGAACTCATTAGGGAGAGAAACTTTCAGCTCTTTATTCCAGAAGAAAAAATATTTTATATATGTTCATCCAAAATTTTTCTGTTACATAGAAGTGATCATCTCTTTCTCATTCATCTTTGGTAGTTGGTTCCACTTGAATAGTCAACACATTCCCCAAGGAACTCCTGTGTCTTGTCTCCCATCCACAAATTCATTTTCTTTCCGGCAGCCTTCCTTCCATCAGTGCTTTCCACCTCCCTGTGTTCCCATCTAAGTCATCTTTGACACAATTCTCCATCTCAAAACTCCAGAGAGGAGGCAAGCCTCCTCCAAGAATTATTCTTGACATGTTCTTGATTCATAACTTGAATTTGCGGAATACTTACCAATATGTTTATCAATAAAGGAGCATTGAAGTATGGTCAATATATTTTAAAAATATACAAATCTGGGCATGGCGATACATGCCTGTAACCCTAACACTTGAGATGTAGAGACAAGAGGATGAAGAGTTCAAGGCCATCCTTGGCTCTATAGTGAGTTCCAGGTCAGCCTAGGCTACATGAGACCCTGTCTTCAAAAACCAAAGCAAAGTAATATGTGTATCCATAAACTACAAACGTTTATCTCTTTGCTGTGTGCGTTAAGAATACAGCCTGAGGACTGGGGATGGAGCTCAGGTGAAAGAGTGCTTGCCCAGCACACATGAAGCCCTAAGTGAGGCCCCTAGCACCACCTAAACCTGAACATGATTGTGTACACATATAATATCAGTACTTAGGAGGTGGAGACAGAAAGATCAGAAGTTCGAAGTCATCTTCATCCTTGGCTACATAGTGTATTTGAGGCAAGCTTAGGATACATGAGATCCTATCTCCAAAAAAATAAAAAAGCACAACGTGGTATCTATCATTCGTAACAAGTATTTAAGCATGTTAAACTGTGCCATTAATTATAGACATGTTGTACAGCAGATGTCTTGAATTTATATCCATTGAATGAGCCCTCATTATTTAAAACATGATTATTGAGAACTAATTTGTGGAGAATAAAATTCACACATTTGAAAGTATTCAATTTTTTATTTTGTCACAGTCACATCATTAACTATTAACACTAATTTTAGAAAAAAATGGTGTGTGTATGTGCACATGTGTGTATGGGTACACTCACCATGCATGCATATATGGGAGTCAAGTGTCTTCCTCCCATGTTCTCAACCCTACTTTTTTGAGACAGGGTTTCTCACTAAACTTGAAGTTCATGGATTAGGCTAGGTTGGCTAGCCTATGAGCTCCAGGGATACACCTGTCTCCACCCCCTCCCCAGCGATGGGGTTACAGCTGTGTGTACCTCACTCAGCTTTTTACATGGGTGCTGAGGATCCGAACTTGGGTCCTGAGGATCTGAGCTCGAGTCCTCAGGCTTGTGCAGCAAGCACTTTACCCCACTGAGCATCTCTCTAGCCTCTAATTGTAGAAAACTTTAATACATAAAGAAAATCTAAAGCATTACCAGTTACTCTTTCTCCCCAACCTGTTCCATACCTGACCGCTCAGCTTCAGACCTCCACTAATCAAAGTTCTGTTGTTATAGAATAACCTATTTTAGACATCTCATGTAAATGAAAACACATACTCTATATTCCACTGCACATAATGTTTTCAAGTTTCATCAGTGTTGTAATAATACCTTTCTGTTTTATAGTCAAGTAATATTGTATGGTGAAAATACAGCATATATTTATCTACTTACCAGCAAATAGATATTCAAGATATGGTTCTTGGGGCAATTATGAATAATGATTATAGGAGTATTTTTTGTCTTTTTGAGATAGGGTCTTCCTGTAGCCCCAGCTAGCCTGGAAATCGCTATGTAGACTAGGATGGCCTTGAACTCAGAGATCTGCCTGCCTCTGTCTCCTGAGAGCTGGGAGTAAAAGCATGGGCCACTATGCCTGGTGATTATAGGAACATTCTTGAACAAGCTTCTATATTAGCATGCTTTCATTTCTTTTATATAAAGTGATGTGCCACATACCTATGTTTCAGTAGATGACAGACCACATACATATCAGTGGTCCCATAATCCTGTGACATCTTAGCTGCCTTAGTTTATGTAAGGGCACTCTCCGATGTTCATAGGACAACAGAATCTTAGCTTTCTATTTCTGTGATAAAACACTGACCAAAACCAACTTAGGGAGGAAAGGGTTTATTTGGCTTGCATGTCCTGATCATAGTCCATCATTGAGGGAAGCCATGGCAGGAACTGAAGCAGGGCAGGAACCTGGAGGCAGGAACTGAAGCACAGACCACAGGCACCGTTTACTAGCTTGTTCCTCTGGCCTCTACTCAGCCTGCTTTCTATTTTTAAAATATTTTATTATTTTTATTCTATGTATGTGAATGTTTTGCCTGCATGTATGCAACTACACCACATGCATGCAATGCCCACAGAGGCCAGACAAGGGTGTCAGATCCCCTGGAACTGGAGTTACAGATGGTTGTTAGCCATCATGTGGGTGCTGGGAATCAAACCTGGGTCCGCTGGAAGAACAGCAAGTGTTCTTAACTGCTCAACCATCTCTCCAGCTCCCTCAGCCTGCTTTCTTATACAGCCCAGACCCACCTGCCCAGGGATGGCACTGCCCACAGTGGACTGGGCCCTCCCACATCACTCAACAATCAAGACACCACTTCACAGACAAGCCCACAAGCCAATCAAATAGAGGGAATTCCCCAGTTGAGGTTCCCTCTTCCCAGGTGTGTCAAGTTGACAACTGAAGCTAGCCAGCATACTTGAGGTCACATTCCTTAGAGTGCAGCTTATCATTAAGTGACATATTATCTGTAATTGGAGTCCCGAAAGCAAATGGAGAACGTGGAGGTGTGCTGGTTGTTTTTGTCAGCTTGACACAAACTAGAGACACCTGGGAAGAGGGACTCAGTTGAGAAATTACCTCCATCCGATTGGTCTGTGGGACATTTTCTTGATTGCTAACTGATGTCCTTCCCATTGTGGGTGGTGCCATCCCTGGGCAGGTAGGTTTGGGCTGTTTAAGAAATGTAGCTGAGCAAACCAGAGGAAGTAAGCCACTAAGCCGCCTTCCTCCAGGGACTCCACCTCAGTTCCTGCCTCTGCTCCTGTTTAAGTTCCTGCCATGACTTCCCTCAATAACGGACTGTGATTGGGAGATACAAGCCAAATAAACCATTTCCTCCCCAAGTTGGTTTTGGTCAGTGTTTTTATCACAGCAACAGAAGACAAACCAGGACAGGAGATGAGGGATGTGTGTAGAGACTTTAAAAGGACATTTGAAGAAATTATGGCACATGGCTTTTCTTTTCAGTCTGGCATCCTAGTTGTTGCCCCTTGGTCAGAGTGGCTTATGGTTTACACTGTTCAGAGGTCAGGCTCATGGTCTGGGTGCTAAGAGGCTTCAGTTGCTCTTTGATGGATCTTTGTGTAAGCTAAGGAATGCTGTTAAGTCTTTCCCTTGTCCTCTTCTGACTTCCTGTTGGGTCCAGCTTAGTAGCATCTGGTTTACCCAGAGATGAGTATGATCCCAGGACAGATCTTGGCTGCATCTTCCCCAGATCTTGTAAACCTCTGTGTGCTTCAGTGACATGTTGGTTACTATCCATGGAGCTACCAGCATCCTCTTAAGTGTTCTCTATCAAGAATGCCAAAGTTTCAGATGACGCCATGAGACATGGAATCCTTCATGCTGTATTCTAAATAAGGCAGGAGAACTTCTGCATCGCTGTATAGAAGCCAGGGGTGGGGACTGCAGCCCACTTGTCCTGGAGTGGCATTCTGTTCTGCAGACAGACACAAAGGACATGGAAGTAACAGGAAGGAGACAACAGCCCCTGGGCTTAGCTTTTTCATTCCAGTATGGAACTTCCACTGTGCAAGGCAGTTGGGAAGGGGCAACTAGAACCCAGCATTCTTGGCCTGCTGCATTTAGAACTGAAGTTCTACCCTTAGAGCAGGTGTGAGGTGGAGGGTGATGGTGGGTAGAGGATGATGTAGAAGTGAGGAGGAGGGTGGGATCACAGATGTTTCAATCACTTCCATGAGCCCCATGCTTGCATCTCAAGGATGAGGAAGACGTGAAATGTGCTTGTGGTTGGCCTGCCCTTCCTAGGGTGAAACTATAACCCTATGGAGGGAGATGCAGGGATCAGAAGGCCCCCTTGACCACACCTCCCTGGAGTAGAGAACTTGGCATAGAATTTCCATTCCCCAAAACTGTGGATGGAATTGAGTGAGCAAATAAATGGTGGCTCATATGCCATAGACTCCCACTGTCCATAGACTCCCATTGAGTGTTGTTGAGATTTTGAAGATCTTGACAGAATGATTCTCCCTTTGCTGTGTATCTTCAATTTCTGGAAATGTTGACCAATGTATAATTTTTCTTTAGTCAAATAATTCTTAGGCTAGGGAGAAAAGATGCTTCAACATTCTGCCATTCTGGAAGGCAACTTCAATCCACAGTTTAGATTTCTGGAGTCTCTGATTGTATTCACAATATCCAGCAGAGGAGACTTCAGAGAAGGGCTCATGTGTGTTCAAGGTTTAAAGTCCATGATGGCAGGAAAGGCCTGGCTGAGTTCATGGCAGCAGGCAGGTGTTGCTGGGCTCCTCACACCTCCACAGATCAGGAAGCAGAGAGTAGGAAATAGTGGCACTCAGCTGGCTTTCTCCTCTCCCCTATTCAGTCCTGGACCCCAGCCCATGGGCTGGTGCTTCCCACATTCAGGGCAAGTTTTAACCGGGTCAGTTAATCCTCTCTGAAAATACCCTCACAGACACACTCAAAGGAGGCTTCACTGACATCCAGGGTGTCTCACAATCCAGTCAAGAGCAATCAAAATTAACCATGACAAACCCACTTGGCACCCATAACACATCACTTTAAACTTACAAAGCAAACATCTGGGGCTGGAGAGATGGCTCAGCACTTACGAGCACTGACTGCTCTTGCAGAGAACCCAGGTTCAATTCCCAGCACCTACATAGCAGTTAATAACCATCCATCATAACTCTAGTTCCAGGGAAATCCAACACCTTCTTCTGACCTCCAAGGGCATTGCACAACACAGGTGCACTTATACACATGCAGCAATACATTCATACACTAAAATAAAAATAATAAATAAAATACTTTAAAGCCAAAAAATCAAACATCTACCTCACTGCCTCACTTTACTGGGAGGAATGATAATCTCACCAGAGCCAGGTTGTTGTAACTGCCCCCAGCAAAGTTATCTGTGTAGCTCCACCCCACTTCTCCTCACAACACAGATATCTGTAGGCATTTAGCTGCAGTATCTGATTTTCAGTAACTCTCAGGCATGGCCACAGGACAGGTGAATGAATTAACATACATTGTTTGAAGAAACTGAACTGCTCAGTGGTAGTGGCCAGAGCTGGGCTGCATAGCCCAGGAGGACCAGGCCAACAAGATGGACTTAACCATAAAGGTACTGAATGAAGCAATAAACACATATAACCAAAGCAGCATTTTTAGAGATCATTATGGTTGCCATGACTACAACAGGTTGCCATAGTTTGAGTCTTAGATACCCCTACAGAAGATGGTTCAGTGGGTAAAGTGCTTGCTGGGGAAAGATAAGGACCTGAGTTCAGATCCCTTACACTAGCACGTGTATGTAACCACAGTGCAGGAAAGGCAGAGGCAAGGGGGTCTCGGGCTTGTTGGCTTGGCCGTCTAGCCAAACAGTGAGCTCCAGGATCAGTGAGATGCAGTCTCAAAAAAATAGGGTACAGGGAGGGTGAAGAGATGGCTCGCTCCTTAAGAACACTGGCTTGAAGAGGACTCAGGTTTGGTTCCCAGCACCTACATGGTGGCTAACAACCTCCCATAACTCTAATTCCAGGGGATCCAACACCCTCTTCTCTCCTCTGAGAGTACTGCATGACACAGGTGCACTTAGACACATGCAGGCAGTATACTCATACACATAAAATAAAAATAAATAAACTGGGAGTGAAAGTGAATCTTCCATCTGCTATAGCAACAGAGTTCACTAACAGAGTAGGCTTCTCACCACATGTGGCCACTATGGTACAGGTGGGAAGGAACAAATGTCTCTGAAGACCTGGCCTAGAGAAAGAAAGCAGTGAGGAAGGAAGGCGGTTTTCCAATCTAATTTACAGTTACTTGCATGTAGTGGCCAGGTGAAGAGCTGGAGAGAGGATATGAGGTCATAATGTTCCTCAAACTCTAACATGCACACAGATCACCTGGGAGCTTGCTGGGATGCAGATTCTGATTCAGTGGGTCTGGGTGGACTCTGAGATATGGAGGTTTTGTTGCTGTTTGACTATGTGCACAGATTGTGTGTGTGTGTGTGTGTGGTGTGTGTGTATGTGTGTGTGTGTGTGTGTGTATGCATACAGGTGTACATGTGTGTCCATCTTGTAGAGGCCAGAGGTTAACAGCAGGTGTCTTCCTCAGTCACTCTCCACCTTGTTTATGGAGACAGGGCTCTCACTGAACCTGAAGCTCACTGACTCAGCTAGGCTGGCTGGCCAGCAAGCTACAAGGATCTACCTCTCCCCCACCCTCCACCGACCCCCACCCCCAGCACTGGAATTACTTTTCCATGGGTGCTGAAGACCCAAACACAGGTCCTAATGCTTATGTGGCAAACACTTAACCAACCAAATCATCTCCCTAACACCAACTTTTTGTCTTTCTGCAACAGAGTCTTACTGTGTAGCCCTGACTGGACTGGAACTCATAGACCAGGCTAACCTTGAACTTTTGGCCATCTTCCCGCCTCTGCCTCCTGAGTGCCAGGGTTATACCATGTACCAAGATCCTCAGGATGGAATTTCTACCCAGCTCTTACATCAATACTGCAAGAGGATGGCAGGACTTCAAGTCACAACTTTGTCACTTCCTCTCTGTGAGTTCTTTTGTGCTTCCAAGTTCTATCTATGCAATGGAAGCAACAGTAATAATAATAAAACTCCTCTCATGCCAGGTGTGGTACATGTGGCTATAATTCCAACACTTGTTAGGCTGAGGCAGGAGGATCAGGAGTTCAAGGTTATCCTTGGCTACATAGAGAGCTCAAGACCAGCCTGGGCTATATAAGACCCTGTCTCAAAACTAAAACAAACAAAAAACGCTTCATCTCATTAGTGTGGTTTTTAAATGTAGCAATGTACATAAAGAACTTAGAATAAAAGAAGTTCAAAAAATGTTAGTTGTTACTCTTGCTACCCCAGGGGTACTCACCCCCCCCCCGCTCTCCAATCAATGCACCTAGCAATTTGAGACCCTGAACTGCATCAGGCTACGTAGACACCCTCTATCAACAATATGTTTCTCTGCCCCTAACAAGAATCAAATTTAGATAATTTCTGTTCAAATATAGTCTCAGTGTATCCTGGTAGGAAGAATGGACAGTCTGATCTAGCCTGAACTGGTTTGGGGTGCATGCATAGTAAGGCAAAACTGTTTCCTCAACTAAACTTCTAAAGAAAATCTCTTATTTATCATCTTATGTTTGTGTATAATTAGGTGTGTAGGTGACTAAAGCCAGATGCATTATGGGAAGGAACATGTACTATAGAAAAATGATTATATGACAGGGGCTAGAGAGATGGCTCAGTGGTTAAGAGCACTGGTTACTCTTGAAGAGGACCCAGGTTCGATTCCCAGCACCCATATGGTGGCTAACAATAGTCTATAACTCAGTTCCAGGGGATCTGATGCCCTCTTCTGACCTCCGCAGGCATTGCGTAGCATGGGTGCACTTATATACATGCAGACTCATACACATAAAATAAAAATAATACATGAA